CAAATTTTCTCACCTTTCACACAATCTAATACTACTAGTCTTACTTAGTGAGTTACTGGATATTTACTGATTCCCCTTCCGTCATCTTGTTATTATCATCAGTGTATTATTATTATGAAATGATTTAACTTACTCTGGTTTGGTGTTCCTTACATAATGTTTGAAAATCGTATATGTGATATTTGAGTGATATTATTAGTTGTCTTTCGAATTATTTTATTTACGTTTTCTGTTTCCCCTATATTTATTTACGTGTAGTAGCAGTTCAAAAAACGGAATATAAAACCACTAATATCTTAGATTGGCCCGGCATGGGCAGGTGGTTAGGACGCTCGACTCGTAATCTGAGGGTAGCGGATTCGAATCCCCGGCACACCAAACATGCTCGCCCTTTCAGCCGTGGGGGCGTTATAACGTGACGGTCAATCCCACTATTCGTTGGTAAAAGAGTAGCCCAAGAGTTGGCGGTGGGTGATAATGACTAGCTGCCTTCCCTCCAGTATTGAACTGCTAAATTAGGGACGGCTAGCGCAGATAGCCCTCGTGTAGCTTTGCGCGAAATTCATAACAAACAATCATTCTTATAATAACACTGCAAAAATGCTCATTTTTAAACAATGACACTGAAAACAATGTTTCTATTATACCACTAAACAATGTTTTCATATAACACTGAAAATGGTATTTTTATGCAAGTACACAAAAGGCATTGTTTTCAACAATGATACTGAATACAATGTTTAATACTATAAGTGGTACTTATATTCACCGTAGAGAACAATCTTCACTTATCATTGTAAGAAAATACTGTATTCAGTTTCTTTGTAGGGAACCACTGCCTTGTGTATCTCTCCAGGAAGGGACAATAATCATGTTGGGGTGACAAAAACTACACCCTTTTTCTAATGAACGTGGGAAGTTGCTTATAAATATAAATATTTATTAATATCATAAGACATATTTCGTATCTCCTATTGTTGTTGTCAATGGCTATACCTATATATATAAGAAGGGATGAAATTATTCTGTATATTTGAATCACGTGTACCCGTAGAGCTTCAATAAAGTTGTGTGTGTGTGCACTTTTAAAAACCAACTTTCAAGAAGAAAATACTTTATTTCAGTTTCGAATTTCAAGCACATACAGAGATACTCCATTTTAAAAATATATCACACAAAAGCACTTTTTTATCACATTCTACGTCTCACTTCTTACAAAGACATGGAAAAAGTAAAGTACATTTCTATTCAATGTTATATCTGAGTTTTAGAATTGATAGTCAGTCAGACATTAAAGTCCTGTAAAAACATATAAGACAACAACAACAACAATCGCTTTATACGGCTTAGGCTATCAACAAAATAAACGCATAATTTATTCATTGAATAAAATACACATACACGTAACACTACGTCACGTGTAGCACGTACTGTAATGTAGTATTTAAATCCAGAATAGTGTCGAACACCGTCAGCTTTTTTAAACACTTTTTTCTCTCTAAACAGAGTTCGATGCGTTATGATATGAGACCAATCTTTCTTATCCTATTTACTGACCACTGTCTCTGTTACTGACCACTAAAGATGTTTACTTACTGACCACTAAAGATGTGTTACTTACTGATCACTATCCTCTCTTACTGACCACTAAAGATGTGTTATTTACTGACTACTATCTTCTCTTACTGACCAATAAAGATGTGTTACTTACTGACCACTATCCTCTCTTACTGACCACTAAAGATGTGTTACTTACTGGCCACTATCCTCTCTTACTGACCACTAAAAACATGTTATTTACTGACCACTATCCTCTGTTACTGACCACTAAAAACGTGTTATTTACTGACCGCCATCGTTGGATATGACAGTAATAAAAATATTTAACTTCAGTGAAACTGTTGCTAGGATATGACAAAAACTGAGTGCGTTTTTAACTTCAATGGATTTCATAGATTATGACAGAAAACTGAACGTTTAAACTTTAAGTGGGATTGTATTGTGTGATATGGTAGGTGATGAATGTTTTTCTTCTAAAGTCATTTTGTTTTACTAAAATGACATGGCAGATGTCGCTAGTGTTTCGGAAGATTGAATTTTCTAACAAAATTTGATCAAGTGGACGGCAACTCTAAGAACTATAATTGACAGGATCTATTATTGATATCCTACCTTTATGTCGTTATAATGCACGTGCCTATATCTGCGTATAATAACTGTTGAAAACGTGACATATAAGTGCTGGTGTTTGTAATTGTAAAAAAAAAAAAAAAAATAGGAAAGTGAATTCCATGTGATATAGCTAGTGTTCTTATTCTTATATCTACAAATATTCGCATGTGTCATAAAGTTGTTTTGTGTTTTCAAGTTTAGAATTCGAGAAGTCTGGACAGTTTGTTTTTCTTATAGGTTTTAGTATTTAATACACCTTAAAGTCTGAAGATTTTGTTGTTCAGTTCAACTCAACATTGATTATCACCAACTATTAAAACATCAACTTAAACCCAATGTCTGGAAATCTCCAGCTACAGCTCCTGTGTAAAGTGTTTACTAGTTGAACTTGTTTTTATGCATTAACTTCGCATGCTAATCTATACTAGGGTTAAGTAAATGAGGTTTTAATATACCTTTTCTCATAAGCCTCATTTCTTCTTGTTATCTTGAATTCAACACTTATTATACAGTGTTCTGTTTTATATTTTTATAAGTAACGAAAGTAACACGTTTTTAGTGGTCAGTAAGAGAGGATAGTAATCAGTAAGTAACACATCTTTAGTGGTCAGTAAGAGAGGATAGTGCATTCTATTATAAAACAAAGGTTATAAAATATGTTATTAAAATGGTTGTAAAAATTATTGTTCAACAATAACCAAAGAAAGTCAGCGTATGTTCTATTATAAGACAAAGGTTATAAAGTATATTATTAAAATAATTCACGTCACCGGTTAAAAGGAACAATATGAGAAAAATTTAATGATAAATTAATGTGATTAAATACCGTGAAAATTTTTCCCGGTGGGTCAGCGGTAATTTTACGGGCTAACGACGCTAAAATCCGTGAAAATATTATGAAGCTTTCCGCTAATAAACCATCAACCACGAAAAAATATTTCTCAGTCTATACATTAAGTAAGGCTTAGAGAGGATGAGATTAATATTTTTAATATTGTATCAAAATTAAATAGAATTATCAAATATTCGTGGTTTGTGATAAATATGGAAATAAGCTAATGTGTCAAGACGGCATTATTAATTAATATAACAGAGAAATTGGTAATTAAAATAAGTATAAAAAATCAGACAACTTGTTTTTAAAAAAAATGTCTAAATGAATGTGGGAGACTGTATAAGTAAAGATATTGTAAGCTTGTATTGGTAGTATACATGAAAGGTATTACATATTAACCCAGTGGGAGACGTTAACAGTAGGCTGAGTGTATAAGTAAAGATATTGTAAGCTTGTATTGGTAGTATACATGAAAAGTATTACATATTAACCCAGTGGGAGACGTTAACAGTAGGCTGAGTGTATAAGTAAAGATATTGTAAGCTTGTATTGGTAGTATACATGAAAAGTATTACATATTAACCCAGTGGGAGACGTTAACAGTAGGCTGAGTGTATAAGTAAAGATATTGTAAGCTTGTATTGGTAGTATACATGAAAAGTATTACATATTAACCCATACGTGTTGTTATGGTTATCTCATTCACCTAATTTTGTAATGTAATAGCACCGATTTGGAAAACGGAAGTGGGATTGAGGAAAAGTATCTTTTGGTGACTAAAAACTTGGAAACTTCTTCAGGTGGAAAGAATTTGGCAAGTGGCGATAGTCACTGGCGAAACCTAGGAAATGGACAAGGGGAGAAGAGTCGAATGTATTTTTAACTACAGTGGGATTGTTTCGTAGCATGTCTAAAACCGCGAGTGTTTTAAATTCTGAGAGATTGTTTCGAAGGACATGAAAGAAACCGAATTTTTTAACTCTAGTGGAATTGTTTCGTAGGCCATCACAGAAACCGAACGTGTTTTGAACGCAGGTTGTTGTTGTGTAGGCCATCACAGAAACCGAACGTGTTTTGAACGTAAAATATTTCGAAGGACATGAAAGAAACCGAACGTGTTTAGAACGCAGGTTGTTGTTGTGTAGTACATTACAGAAACCGAACATGTTTTGAACGTAAAATATTTCGAAGGACATGAAAGAAACCGAACATGTTTTGAATGCAAAATGTGTCGAAGGACATGAAAAAAACCGAAAATTTTAACTCTAGTGGAACTGTTTCGTAGGATATCACGGAAACCAAACGTGTTTTTAACTCAAATTGTTGCATAGGTAACTATGTGTTTTACCTCCAGTGAAATTGTTGCTAGGATACGACAAAAAAATGATTGCATTGTTAATTTCAATGGAATTTATAGTTTTCATTTCAATGGGATACCATCGTTGGATATGACAGTAATAAAAATATTTAACTTCAGTGAAACTGTTGCTAGGATATGACAAAAAATGATTGCATTGTTAATTTCAATGGAATTTATAGTTTCCATTTCAATGGGATAACGCTGACTTTCTTTGGTTATT